GTCGATTAAGTTGGTAATAGCTTGACTGTGGAACACGAAAACGGGATAGAGTTAAACACAGACACCATTCTCGACACTCCTGTTGTGAGGAATGTAGGAGATATTCTGCTTGCGGCTATATCACAAACAGTGAACACGGGAATAGATGTGGTAGGATGTGGCGGGTTCAATTTTCACAGCCACCAGTGCAACGTTCTGATAAAAATCACTCAATTGAGTAAATGAGAGTTCTGAATGAAGGACTGCATGCATGTATGCATGCATGCATGCGCTGAATGAAAAGATGAAGGGATTGGGCTTTGATTCGACGCGAAAGCTACCTCACGAACACGCGAGTAAGATAAATACCAAAGTAGATCCTAGACTTACGTCGGTCACATAAAAAGTTATCCTAAGGATAGCATTTAGTCGCTAACCTGTATTGCATTATTTTTTTTATTGAATCACGTGATGTCTGGCAGATGCCTTAAGATTGGACTGGTCTTGTATGCCTGGATTGGCCTATGGAACAAACTCAGGCTTAATCTCTTTGATCTCCCAAGAATGCATTTTTTCAGTTCTAACTAATGTCTTCTTAGGCACGGTGGAAAGCCTCGAGATGCTAAACGTGTCTTTTTAATTCTTTGATATCACCTACTTCTGTCTTACCGGCTGATCTTTGAGTTAAGCTATAGCTCCACTTCCACCCTTTCTGGCTAAATACATGCATTTATCCAAGCTCTCTGTCTTCGATCATAAAGGGGAACGTCATGGAAATTAGGACCTCAACAGACGTCTTATTATATCACGCTAGAATCTTTCATAATGCATGCTCGTAAGTAATCAAGATTAAATTTACATAGGAGCTGAAACTGGCATGATAGTGGCGACAGTTGTTGTAGTATATTCAACCCTATTCTGAGCTTACGTACCTGTCTTCATAAGTAAAGGCCTATTCTAAGAAGCTCTATTTGACATCTGTAACGGAGCACAGGAAATTTGGCGAATGGCTCAGGCGAGCATCCGACGCTTCTTTAGGGAAGGATCCACACTCATTTTAGTACTGAAAATCGTGTTAAATGGCCGCCTCTTTTTGGTAAGGGTAGTTTATATTTAATAAATGGGGCTATACTCACTCCTTCAGCTTCCATAAATTATCAATAAAAATTGGAGAAAGCAAATGTTTCGAACTTTTACATTTGGGAGTTAGAATAGATTTGCGAATAGAAATGTAAGTTATAAACCTGGCCATAAGGGCACAATTACATACTTAATCCTGTGATAGTCAAAAATCAAGAGTTTAAGGTAAAAAGACATTACGGCATAATTGCAGATCCGTTTCATGCTCTGGCTTTTCAAGTAAAGGCAAGCAATTGCGTACCCTTTATCAACATGACCTCAAATGCTTGATTTTTATAATTTTTGAATCGCTTATGCGCTTTCTGCAAAATAAAGCGCATTTTAAGAGTGAAAGATGATTAAACTTAGATGCTATTTTTACTGTTGTTCGTATTTCCTAACGTCAAAGGCGTGCATTTAAGGCTGTTTGCAATGGCTAGAGACGTGGATGGTTCTAGTTACAATGAGATCACCATAAATAAGTGGGATGCCAATGCGGCGAAGCATGCTCTAGACGACACGACGAAGGAGGTTTGTTTCTGACCTATTATACATTCCTAGATAATGAAATCGCATTTTGGGCTTAGTGAGAATTTTCGTCTGATCGATACCAGGCTGATGTTATGCACTGCTTCTGTGCTATTCACTGTTATTGCATTAGTGTACGACTATCTTTGCCCCTATCCAGAGTCTCGTTATGTTCTTATTGTCTGCATCGTATCGTATCCTTTTCGAAATGATAGGTTTCTTCCCTCGCATTCCTTATTTGAAGGCCGCTGTGTTTTGGTAGTTTTATCAATGCAGCAATTTCTGTTCACTAATTACCGAGTTATTTTGGTTCGCTGTTGGCCTTTGTTCATGAAAATCTCTACTGTTTTTGCCTGCCATGGTGTTGTTACTTGTGCTCGGTCTGGTTGTGCATATTTTTATCCCTATTTGTTTTGCTCCTTGACTTAAGAAAGATACTTCATTAACACGTCAATTCTGTCTTGGCATGCTTACTTTGTCGAAGGAAACATATTTTTCGTTGGAATTCAGCCAGACAAGTCGGGTCTTGACCCTCCCAATAAATGGACTTTTGCATCTCAGATCAAAAAGTTCTTCCGTTTATCCTTTAACAACCCGTTTAGGTACAGTCCAGACTACCGTCTGACCCTCACATACCTCGATGGAACCACTAACAAACAGTCAACAGTCGAAGCTGTTAAAACAATCGACTGTTTTTTCGACGAAAAGGGTAAACTGTGTAGTGCCCAACTCGAATCATTTATACTGAGTGTTTGCAAGGATGTTGCATCGAAAAAGGAGCAGTGAAAACTTTTGCAATGAAGTTATCCTGACTTTGGTATTCTAACTGTTTACTGTTATCTATGGACATAAATTGTGAACAAAGACATTACTTTTTTGGGCTATCTTTGTGTCTGTAACTCATGGTGGTTCAGTTTTAGGAAAATATTGCTTGTTGGAATTAGGTCCCATGGATATTCATTAAGTTCGCTTTTATTTTCCCACTCTGGTTGTGTTTCTAGTTGTTCTTTTTTTACTAGTTTTTTGTTGATATTTCATCTCCCTTATGGAGGCATTTAAGTGTTTTTTCAGTGTGTTAGCATATCCTGTTGTAATTCTGGGCGCCGCCTTGTGCAATTTTGTCAGTCAAGTAAAACTGACTAATTCGGCTGCCACGTTTGATCAAATTAGTGC